TATATATATATATATATACATATATATATATATATATATATATAATCAATAATTTTTGATTTGATGAAAATGTTGGGGATTTTAACTTGAATTTATAAATTTAGGTGCACATCGTGTTTTATAAACTAAGAGGATACTTTCAGCATTTTTCTTTAACATGGCGGCTGCTACAGTTCATGCAGTCAATAATAATGACATCAGTTTTTATTTTTCAGTAGGAATAATTTATGAACGTTTTTTTTTTTGTAACATTTTTCATTTGATCGCAACAACCTTGAAAGACATGACAATACGACCTCATTCCATTGTCTTAACCGTTTTGTGGAATGAAATTGTTGAGCAGTTTTACTGTTTTCGTGTGTGTGTGTGTGTGTGTGTGTGTGTGTTTGTTGTCTGATTTAAAGATACAACAGTAATATTGTAATAAAACACATCATCTCTAAATCAGAGTCCTACCTGAGCTCCACAGCAACAGTAGCAGCATCAACAGGTGATCCATGACGTCCAGGTAGACCGTCTCTCTGCCCGTCTGTGTGCTCTGATGGTCTCATGCTGTCCTCAGCTTATATCTGTGTACAAGAAGAGATGGAGCTTTACTGATACTTGTCTTTAGTTTTACAGATCATGTTTGCACTTGAACTGTGTTTGTGTGAAACTGGTTATCTATCTATTATTACAGACTATTATAGATTATAGAGCATTATAATGAAAATGAGGGCCGTGAGCAAGTAACATCTGCAGGAACATCTGTCTACACGGTCATGTTCCCCAAGTCAAAGAAGATTAAATACATATAAAGCCAGTTAAAACAGAGCCTACATACAGGAAGTTGTAAACTATTTTATAACGGGTACAAATGACAAAGTTTAAATATAAATAAGGAATTGTGACCAGATCAGGAAACTCTGTTTGTGAAATACAACAGGACGGGATGACGACCCTCATGTCCTAAAGAGAAGCAGCTGACAAAGCTCTGGATCGCCTGTATGGAGAGGACCACACATCATCACCATTGCAGCTAAAACATGTTCTATGTACAGTATGACAGCATTTACTCATGTTTATGTTTCATGGTATTTATTATATTTGATTGGAAATTAAGTCATTTTGAGGAAAAATCAAATCATTCTCATTTCTTCATTAGTTCTTATGATCTTGAGTTCTAAAGAAACAGTGTTCAGATGTAGTTTACACAGATTTCATTATATGTAATAACAACTTCCTCTTCTTCTGTTCTACAGTCACATGTGTACATCTTGTGATGTTCTGCAGGGTTTATGGACTCGAGGATGTTGCATGTAGGAGGAACTGGAACCTGGTTCATTCATCTCTGAACCTAATGAGGAACAAAATACTCTGATTTACATGAAATATTGTGCGTTAATAAAGTAAATAATGACTCAGGAGGCAACATCACTGCAGAGGACAAATATAAATCCAGGATGCAACAATTCTACTTCAAATAAGATGGTGTGATCGCATTGTTGATGATAAACATAATGATTGTAAAATGCAGCTCCATTTTAGCAGAAAGGTTACAGTTAGGATGACATTTTATATTACTATGTTGTTACTGTTTACAACACAAAGCTCTACTCTCTAAATCTGTGTACTCTACATAACATGACCAAAGACACTAATAACACACTTTAGGTTGAACAGGGAACATGTGTTAGTAGATAACTTTGGTAGTATTTCTCTACTGAGGCAGCGTGAGTGTAACTCTGAGCTGCTGTTACTCAGATGAAGAGAAGGACTTCACCACAGCTTCTGAACTGCGGTTGTGTAAAACTGAATATATCTGATTTCACAAGAAGCTGCTGACTGATTGCAGATTATAGGACTGTTTCCATGACAGGCTGAGCTGTTCCTATCAGATGAATGCTGTCAGTGTCGTCTTCTTATTTCTGATAGATGTGTTAACATCAGCAGGTACAGCTACTGACTACTACTACTAATACTGCAGTCTGTGTCTCACTCACTTCACTGCATCATGTTTCTGTGTTGTTTCACTTTAATGAGTCCTTCATGAAGCTGCAGGATGTTTTCAGCTCTGAACCCACTGGTCCATCTGACTGTCGAACCAACAGATCAATATCTCTGTGAGCACATCCAGCACCTTCCTGTGTGCTGCTCTGGTGATCAGACATCACGTGTGCATCAGTTTGTTTCACTGAATAGTTTCTAGTGATTTATTAGTTCTGATGATTTAGTGAACTCCTGATTCAAACTGACTCTGTTGTTGCTCTTTATCAAGTTTTTCCAGAGAGAGCAGAGATGGAAGAAGTACTCACATCTTTTACTTCAGTAAAAGTACGAATACTACTAATACTGTGAGTACTACCAGCAGTGTTTGCAGAGGTTCTGTCTCTCAAACAGCCTGATGACGACTCTCTCCAGAATAGAGGGAGTCAACATTGTCTCTTAAAGCAACAGTAGAACTCAGGCCTAAGTTATTCATAGAGTGGGGGGGGCTTTATGCTTATAATTGGTGATCTGTCTGAGACCTCTCCACACTGAAGCATATTCACTTGCTGAGAGCTCTTTTTGAAGTTTCTCAGGATATCATGGTTCAGCATCTCTCACCTCCTGGCTGTATTCTGACTCTTTAAACCAGTCCTGGTCTCCACTCCTCAATGCCTCTTCCTTTTGAAACCTTAGCTGTCTGAGTTTAGCTGTGAACCAGTTTGTTGTTGGTATAACTCACCCTGGTGCATGATGGGACACTGTTGTCTTCACAGAAGCTGATGTATGATGTGACAGGCTGCTACTTTACACAGTTCTTTGTAATGTTGCTCAAAGGTCAGTTTCACCCCAAAAAGAGAAGAAAATCGTGGTGAACAAGAGATGAGTCAAAGACGTGGAGAAGCTGATTCACCTCCACCAGACATCATCTCTGGAGGACTTCCACATCTTCATCCCGTGCTCTGAACACAGGAACGTGGTTTTCACTTTCATGGAATGTTGTGAAAGTAATAAATATACTTTATAATAGATTCTGTAACCTCTTATAACAAAGTGACTGAATTATAGAAGTGTTACAACAATTCTATTCTTGTAGGTTGTGCCTTGCAGTCAGGCATTATAATGAAAACTAGAAAATTTCGCAAGAGATTTTGACAGTGTGGCTGCTACTGCCTGAAGACGTCGCAATATATATACATGCCAATGTTACCAGTAGTGTCATTCAGGTTCAATTGAGATAGCGCTTCTCTCTTTTCTGCATTTTAGATTCATACTCTTGGATTGAATCTTGTATTTGTAACAGTCTTGAACTTGAGAGCAGCTATTGCTTCATAGAAACGCATAGTTGACAGCACATGTGTGTGTGTGTGTGTCACTATTTACGGTGATGAGAGGAGACAGAATCCTAATGTTTGACTCTGGGTACATCCCAAGTCTCTTAATTGCATCCCCATTTACCTCACTAGGGTCCTTTCCTTGCGTCTTAGTCCCTCCCACCAGGGATGCATGGAGGAAATCATGCGAGGAGAGAGGAAACGAGGAAATGACAATTAAGAGACTTGGGATGTAGCTACCCACACACACACACACATACACACACAGAGGTTATTAAATGGCAGGCTTCATCACAAGCATGAAGTCAGTGAGTGTGTGTATATGATAAAAGAATATCGTACATGTATAAGATAGTTTTACTTCGCGACGGTCCATGAATGCATCACGAGGGCAGGCAAAGACGTCGGGTACTGATGACGCACTAAACCGTCGACGGTCGTTTTTAAATCGTGTGTCTTGTTTACATCATGGATGTGTCCGTTGGTTTGGTCGTTTTTAGTACTTTTTAATTCGTTTTAACGGTTGCCGGTTGAAGCAGGTGGGATGGACTTCTGTAAGAAGCACGTGAAGTCGGACTGCGTGGAGCTGCTGAGCCGCTTCCAGGGATCCGAGTCCGTCCGCTTCCAGGTTTTCTCCAAAATATGGAGAGAAATGGAGTTCTCACAGATTTTCTAGTAAGTTTACCAATAATATATATCACCTTATGTTCTAATATAAGCAGTGGTGCATTTCATTGTTTAAGTACTGTACTTGAGCACAATTTCGAGGTATTTGTACTTTACTTGAGTATTTCCATTTTCTGGTACTTTCTACTTCTGCTCCACCGCAACACAGAGGAAACGTTATTGATCACTTGGTGACATTCACAAGCTTCCTGGCGGTATCTATATATATGTATGTATGTATATATATATACATACATGCATACAGCTAAAAAATGGTAGAAATACTCTGTTTTAACTAAAAGTCCTAAATTCAAGTAAGTACAAACGTATTAGCATCAAAATATACTTAAAATACTTAAAAGTAAAAGTACTCATTATGCAGAATGGCCCGTTTCAGGATCATATCTGTATTATATTTTGGATTATAATTATTGAGGCATTAATGTGTTATAACTCTAACGTTGCAGCTTCTACATATTTTCATCAGTAATGACAGAGTGTGACTTAATTAGACATTTTCCTCATTCAACACAGTGTGTCACATGTTGTTGTTGTTGTTTTGTAGCGGCACTGTGAACCACCAAGAGCAGCGAGCGTTCTGCCGTCTGATCCTGGACACCGCCTACATCTTCTTCTTGCCTCCGTACAGCTTCCAGATCAGAGTGGGAGGACTGTACCTGCTGCACAGCTTGTATCAATGTCAGATCACCTCGCCCCGAGAGCAGGTCAGGAACACAGCACACGGTCTCCAGAGGGTCGGCCATACATTCATTTGAATCACACGTGACGTGAAGCTCTTGTTGTGTTTCTGGCTGCAGATCCGTCTGGCGCTGAAGGACTGGGAGGACGTGATGAAGCTTGAGAAGGACGCCGTCAATGCTCAGCACCACGACGCCGTTTACATCCTCCGACAGCTGATGTTGCACAAAGCTTTCAGCTTCACTGCCATGCCCACGATGGTGAGCAGCCTACCTGACATCAACACACACGTTCACATTGGATATTCACTTTAAACCCTCAATATCATTGAATGGAGGAATGTTGCCTTTTAAACAAGGTGAGTTATGACCCAGAGTGCAGAGTGGGATCCTCCAGCCCATTACATTAGTGTATTAAGGATAAATAGCAGACATGTCTGATTGATATGGCCACAATTATTCTACGAAATTATTTTACACATTACAATACAACGGTGCTTGAAGTAGACAAAAATAAGGGCCAGTACTCCTCTTTTTCACATGTTGGCGTGTGAATCGGCCGATATCAGATAACGCACAAAAAATCTGAAAGACAAAAGTTTCTATAGTTGAGTCATTATTTCACTATTTCATTAGTCACTATTATTTCATATCACAGCCTTCCTCTGAACATTGTTTACCCTCTAAAATCATACTCTGGAAATCAAAATAACAGATTCAGAAAAAATTTCAATAAAATCTCGTTCATTATGACGAACAGTTCACGAAGTATTTTTAAAAACACGTGTACATTGTATCGATAAATTACAGCACCGTCATCATCATCATCCTCCGTGCCGTGCAAAGACTCGTCATTTAGCTTGCAAATTCACTTCTTCTCCTCTTTGTGCTTCTCCTTTCTGTCTTTCTTTCTTTCTCCTCTTCCTCTCCTGCCAGCTTGCCTTCAAGAAGAAGAGGAAGGTGGAGAGCTTGGCGCTGTGTGAGGAGTTCATGGAGCGACCGTCTCGTCCACAGGAGCTCATCAACATCGAGCTGCTGGAGGTGAGCAGAGAGCTCGACTCAGACACTTTAAAAAGTACATTATTAAAAGTATTAAGTTAAGCGTGTTGTGTTTGCAGGAATTGTCCAACATCGATGAGCTCTACGGGAAGCTGAAGACTTCTGTCTCTTCGGAGTCGGAGCCGGCGGATTCTTCCATCAACCTGATCCGTAAAGACCTGGCCCCACAGCTACGCAGCACTGTGGTGGATTTCTACAAGTGGCAGCAAAGGAAGGTAAGACTTCTCTTCAGGTGTTTGTTAAAATGACACCCACAGTTTGGAAACTACAAGAGATGATGTGGTTATTTTAATGCTTTTAAATTGTTTTACAATTAGTACATTATGTACTTTTTTCCACTCTTGATGTGACGTTTTGTCTCGTCAGAGTGGTCCTCATGAAGATGAAGATGAAGACAGCGGTGAGGGGACGTCATCTCAGCAGGAGGTGAGTTACACTTCATTCAACTTTACTGAGGGGTTTAAAGCATCACTGGTGCACATAGATGCTTCTGAAGGATATTAAATACTCAAACTGACACGAAGTCCTTCAGCTGTAATAATAACTTTGTCCAGACGGCGGTGCTGTTGACTGACCGGCTGTTTTGTGTTCTCAGTGCTCCAAAAGAGCCCAGCGCCTCGCCTCCATCAAGTCAAAGGCATACGGAGAGGCAACAGAGGTTTGTGTTTCCATGTTAGATTTTCTTTAAATATGTAAGATTTCTTGAAAATATGTTTTATGCTAAACGTCTTCAGGATGCAAAAATATGAAATGTACGTATCCCTGCGTCTCTCAGGCCTCCAAGTCACGGCGCCATCGTCAGGTGGAGGTGGATTTCACGAGTAACGTGGCCGGACCCTCCCACTCGTCACGTTACTCCAGAACAAATAAACCGTCACTCAAAGCCAGAACCTATGAGAACGTTCACATCTCAGGTAAATCCCTCCTGCAACCTCCTCTTCATCTCTCAAAGTTAAGAGAAGAAGAGATGAAATAAAAGGAAATAAGAATGGAGTTTACACCCATCTGAAAGCAAATCAGACAAAGAGGTTGAGTTTTGTTTTTTGTTTGATGCTGAAATGTTGTGAGTGAAGCATGAAGACTCTCCAGCATTTTGTCTCGTAGCGTGAATGTTTTATCAAAATATTCCTCACGTACTGCAACTCTCTTCTCGTCAGGTGACTTGTGGAAAGAAGCCGGGGAGATGACTCAGATCAGGTGTCTCACCACAGTGGACTTTGCTCCTAAAGGTACACAACCTAAAAACTTTTACTTTTAAAAGTAACTTGAGCACTGTTTTCTGGTCCACAGCGGTCTGTTAACATGCTAATATGCCACGTTTGCATGGACCTTGAATGTCTCTCCCAAATGTCATGTCCATATATCTATGTCTTTGGCAATAAAACATTTACCAGGATGAATCTTTCTAAGCTCAAATGACTTTTTCTCTGAATGCCAACTCAGCATCCACCATATTTTACTGTAAAAATCTTATTTTGTAATGTTCAAACGTTGATATTTATTTCCTGTCATGACTCTTTTTTTTTTTTTTAGTCCATTCAGGAAAACAAAACCCGGTAAAAAGATTCAAGTGGTGATGAAGACCCTTCAGAAGTCAACCTGCATCTTGATACAGCGATTGTTTCATGTTTTAAAGTGTTGAAATAGATGATTGTTAGTGTCATGAATTTCCTTTAATCTTAAATGTTCTGTATCATAGAAAATGTGAATGTTGTTTTTTACATTTTAAGGTGTTTTACATTGTTTTTTTAATGAGCAGTCTTTATAGTGACTGTAACTTAAGAAAGAATATTGTTCTAACTTATGTTCTTATTGAATGCAGCGTTTTGTAAAATGTAAACACCAATACGTTTTCTTTTTGCAATTTTACAGCCATCACTTGTTGAAAATGTACCCTGAACTTGTCTCTTAGTCGGATACCTTTAACCTATTACAGTAAAGAAAGCTGTCGGTTGTGTCTACTAACTTAAGCACAAAGTTCAGTAGTGTATATAACTATAACATTTTCCAAAGTTCATCTCTCTGTGCAGCTTCTTCTGTGAAAAAAAAGTTCAAACTGGATTTATGTTCTGCAGCTTTCATGAAGTTTAAATAATTTTATGTAAAAGCTATTGTTCCTTGTGTGACATTTGATTCAGACCAAATCATGTGTGTGTATTTCATATTGAAAAGCTAAAAGTGTGTGGATGTCCCTGATTTTGCTATTTAGTTCTTCTCCTTGGAAAGCATTTGGTAAGTGTGATACAACTGTTGATTTTACAACACAACTTTATATTGTGACAGAAAAACAGACATAGACCTTAGATAAGACCTAAAAACAGCGTCCAGCATTTTTAATAATTACCTTGAAATCAATTGTTAATTATCATGTATTAATTTGTTATTTCATGCATTTAAATATGTAATTTAAAAGTACCTTAACTATGATAAATCGTGATTTCCACTAGAGTCAAAAGCTCTCATAAACTAAGCGGCCTAGCTAGTTTACTAGCTAAACTTAAGCCTAGTTTAGCCTAGCTGATTTGTTAATCTCTTTTTATTCCCTATGACTGTATTTAGCAAACATTACTACTTATTTAGGAAAGATGACAAAGCGTTAGTTAATTAAAATGTACATCTCTTATTGATTTTTTTGACATTTGTTGTTTAATGTAAGTAAATGTAGCTGAATTAGCTAAAGCTAGCTGTGGAAACCAGCTAGTTTGCAGCATTTAGCTTTTGTTTTTAGCAGTTTTCTTTTTCACTATACATTTGTATTTGATGTTTTTCAAATGAGTCAGCTTTTGTCTTTTACTCATTTGTAAATAGATATATAACGTTATTTAGTGTTTTTATTTTTTTGTCATTGCAGGGCAGCACTGATGGATGCACAGTTCAAAGACCATGGGCTAAATGTGTGAAAGGCAAATATTCTCCTGTTCTTTCCGAAATTGGATGAATTTAAGCAAATTATTTCGTGACTTTAGAACACAAATCTACATGTAACAGGGGGGGGGGGGGGGGATCGTAATTTTAAGGTTGAAATTACCAAATGCGTAGAAACCCCGTTGAGTGTGGATGTTTCCGACAGCACCTGAAGGCGTCACGGTTCACCGCTGTGTGGCTGCAGATCTTTGCGGGTCTGGAGGATGAAGAGCGTGCGGGATGCTGCTGCCTCGGTTCCGCTGGTAGTCTGAGGGGGAAACATCCGCAGCCATGGCCTCGGACAGTAAGTACGGCCGTCTTCCTCACCCTGTGGGCGCCTTTAATGTTGGTTTAATGTGTCGGTGCCGGAGGATGCATGGATGCTGTTTTTCAGCCTCTATCCTCTTGTTTCTTTATGTCTGGCTGACTGATAGCGACAGGATGCGTAGGCCAATTCACTATATTTTTACCAAATACTGTCGTTTTTCCTGCGTTTTATCCACATCATTGCCATTTTAGGGCCTTTATCAGCCTCTAAACAAAGACATACTTGTAATATTGCTGCAGTATTTGTTCCTGTGTGTTCACCGGAGAGTTGATAGCTTCATCATGGCCACTTCACGGAAACCTTGCTTTTCTACCTCGTTTTAAACTATAAGATATTCCGGGTTTGGATTGTTTATGTGAATCATCAGAGTGGTTATGATGACACAGTATGATTTTAATGTGTTGTCATAGTGTGCTGTTTTATAACGCAGGCCTACAGAGAGCCTGCGGTACATTTACTGCGTGTTTTCTTATTATTATTAATTCTGCTGTGATGTTATACTTCACATAATCTAATATTTGTAGTGTAAATAGATGCAGGTATAATTTTGAGATACTTTTACTTTACTCAAGTATTTCCATCGAATTTATTCTTCTACTGCATTTCAGATTTAAAAAAAATACTTTGTGACAAATGCAGATACTGGTTACTTTACAGGTTGAGATTGTACATAAAGTATGTTGCATTGTTGTTGATTAAACTACCAAAATGAATATAAAGTAATTATCTCCACCTCGAGCTGCAGCGGCAACATTAAACTGCTGCTTACAGTTAATATAAAAATAATAATTAAAAGTGTGAATTAAATAGTAAACTCAGCAGAAATGTCAGGTGTCATTTTTATATTTGATAAAATACTAAATGAAAGAACTTTAAAAAGCCTTTCATATCTTTAAGTCTTTAATTTAAACTCTAGTCCAGTGATTTCAATCAATTTGCCCTCAGACATTGTACCATCTGGATATTTAATGAACCTTTACAGATTTATTTAGAGCTGACTAAATTATTTATTCATCTAATGATTTCCTTTGTTTGTTCAGGATAGTGATTTTTTTCAAATACTTATTTTGGTTATATACTATTTAAAAAAAAAAATGAAGATATTCTATTTACAATGTTGTAAAATGACATAAGCAAGCAAATCTTCAAATGTAAGAACACATAATCAGCATTTCTTTACTTGATGTATGACTTACGTGATTGATTAATAGATATTTTCTGTTACAACTAATAGATTGACTTCTTCTTTCAGCTCTAATGTTTCCGTTCTACTCATCTTTTCATGCATGTGTTATTACACATTATTAAATAGTGTGACAATCTACCTGAAAACAAGACTGAAGATATAGCTGCAATGTTCATAACATCCCATAATAGATCATTTCACAGTTAAACATTCCAAATGTGTCGGCGGGGAACGTGCTAAATGCAGAATAAGTTAATCGTTTATTCATGAAACATTTTTAGAGACTCTGATCTCATAACCGTCTGCTAACCAGGACAGTTTTCTGGATCAGTATTGGTACAGAGGAGGGTAACGTGGTGCGAGATCAGCGGTGTACATTCACGTGTCAAAGTTCACCAAAGTTGAATTTGACGCCACATATTTGCTCTCATTATCCGTGAGAATCCAGTGATCACTTTATGGGAAAAATACATTTGAAACCATGAGAAGTCAATGATGAATATTAATACCAAAGGTGAACACCAGGTTTCCCACAAAGACAAATGTCATACACAGTTTGATATGACTTATATAACACGTGAACATAACCTCCCTCTCTACATGTGTGATGAGTGTTGTCGGGATTCAAAATGGCATCGAAGCGCTCCATTAAACGGTAGGAAGCAGTCGGCCATGTGCGTCATGCCGGTTCTGGTTATTGTGGCCTACTTACCGACTGCTTCCATGTCTAATTCATGGCTCTCTGAGAGAGCAGCTCTCAGTCGGGACTCGTGGGTCATATTTATTGCTGACAGGAAATTGAATCCGTGTTTGTTCCCGCTTGTTTGAGCACTGGGGATGTTGATGGGAAACCAGACTCATATCGGTCAGTTCCAGACACTTTCTCTTTGCTCTGCAGGCACAGAGAGATTTCTCAGAGGGGAAGATGTTACATTTGGTTGAGTTAAACTTACAGTGAGTGAAGTTAATCATGTCACAACTGTCCACTAGGAGGCGATATAACTCCACAACAAGCTGGCAAACCCTAACACCTTTATAACCACTTTAAAATGTACCGTGAGGAACTTTTACCTGGTCCTGAACCAGTCTCAGTGTAGTCCTGATCCTCTATATGAACCAGTCTCAGTGTAGTCCTGATCCTCTATATGAACCAGTCTCAGTTTAGTCCTGATCCTCTATATGAACCAGTCTCAGTGTAGTCCTGAGCCTCTATATGAACCAGTCTCAGTTTAGTCCTGATCCTCTATCAGACCTCCATCAGTAAAAAGACCATCAGAGAGAAGATGGTCTATTTCTATAGAGGTATTAATGCTCGTCATCGGAGCCACCGGGTCGGATTCTGGTGAAACCAGATGACATCATGCAGGTTCACCAGAACCTCCTTCAGCTCAGAGTCCAGCAGAGACCGGTCCACCGACAGACCCAGATCCTCCAGCAGAGACCGGTCCACCGTGGACAGACCCAGATCCTCCAGCAGAGACCGTTCCACCATGGACAGGCCCAGATCCGGAGCTCCGGAGGGAGGAGGAGAGCTCAGCTTGAGCTTCTCCTCTCTGGGAGTCGACACCGACACCACGCTGCTGGAGACCCAGGACGTATTGCTGGACCCGCTGGATGGAAGGGAGGCACGGGAGAACCAGAACCAGGACTGAGAGGAGCAGACTGTCAGACCCTGCTGCAGTAAAATGAGAGGTTTTCTAAAGGGAGTCTGGTGCTCAGAGACACTACCACTTTAGTCCACAGGGACCAAGTTTGCCTGAGGAGGCTTTAATAATCAGCCTGCTGGTCTTTGTTGTCGTGTTCTGCAGCGCTTCCTCTCGCTTGTTGTGTCTTGGTGGTGTTCAGGAAGACGGGTCCGCCTCGCCCTCTGGGAGGCAGGAAAGCGGCGCTGATTGACGGTTCATACGGGATGCGGGTCAGATTTCACTGAGAGGACGACGAGGACAGAGAGGTTAAGTTTCTCCTCTTGTTTTTGGGGAGAAGACAGAAAGGAAGGAGGAGGTGAAGACATGTCCAGTGAAGAAGGAACTAAAGAGAATCATGGAGAGAGTGAGTTTTGATTTGACCGTCTTATTCCTGGAAAACTAGATGATGATGATGATGGTTGAGCCAAGTTTCTCATCTCTTCATTGTTTCCCCTGCTGTCTTTCTATTTTATTCTACTTTCTGTTGTTGATGGACGGAGAGTCGATGCAGAGACGCTGAAGCTTGTTCCAATATGTTGCATCATATTGAATCAATGAGATCCTTTACTTGAGTAAAAGCACTACTGTAACATATAAAGTATTCAAACTGTGAATGTTCTACTATCAGATTATTATTACTAATGCATTCATGTAAAAGCAGGATTTTACGATTGTAGCTTGTTGAGCTGGAGCTCATTTTGATTATTTTCTCCATTAATCGATCGATTGTTTTGTGAAAATAGTGAGAAACAGCGTCAGAATTAATCAGAGCCCAACATAATTTATGTTTTTTGTTCAGGAATCATAATCTGTAAAGCTGTCAGATAAATGTAGAGAAGTAAAAAGTGTAATATTTCTGAAATGTAGTGGAGTAGAAACAAATAGATAAGCTTACAAAGTGCATTGTTAAGTTTAAATGAATGGTTCCCTGTTGACCTGTGACCTCTGGCAAACAACAACAACAAGGGACCTCGTCATGTTAGTCCTCGTTTTAGATCAGATTAGAGAGATTTATTTATTTTTACAAATACCGATAAAACAAGAATAACCAACAATTATTAATATTATTTGTCTGTAAAGGAGAAGAACACGATGGTCCTACTAATTTATATAACTTAAATAATGAATGTAATGTTTGTCTCATATACAAATAATCATCTTATTATCGAAAAAAAAATCACATCTTTTAATCCATAACAATATTGCTTTAGTTTAGACGTGTGATGGACCAAGAGGATCACGTTTAACTTCTATTGGATGTTAAAACCTAAAGGTGAAATACATAAATACGTGTTGCTGTCGTAGCGGTGACATGCAGCCTGTAACCAGCAGGTGGCGCCTCAGCATCAGTGTTGTACAGCTTAGTTTTCTGGCTCTGATGATCAATATTTGTGGCAGATTTTAAACAGAATAATGGACGTTTAGGAGAACTACTGAATAATGTAGGAGTCATGAAAAATGTAATGAAGCAGGATTCTTTACAGCTGAACAATGAGATTTATTATCAATCATGACAGTAACAGTCAGTAAAGATCAAATATAATATAAATGTTTTTTCAAAGAGTAAAAGTATTATAAATAATACTTATAACAATAGTAATATAAATTATTTTTATAAGTATAAATAATGTATATAAATAATAATAATAATTATTATATTTAATAATATCAATTATTATTATAAGTATAATAATATAATGTATAATAATGATAATATAAGAGCCAGGTCACATCAAAACTGTGTTTAACTTTAACTCAAATCAATATATATAAGTCATATTTGATATGTTTTATATGTTCCACTCTTTCTTACGCTGCACTGCAGCTGCTGCACAGCAGTATCCCTCGGGATAAATAAAATCGTAACGTAATTTTGTATTATACTATTTTATCTTATATTGTCTTTTATCAAACTGTCTTAAAACTGCTGACATTTGCGGCGGCAGTCACAGACTTCAGGCTCTCTGGTGAAATACAATAATGCAGTTCTGAAACGATTGTTCTGCAGATTTGTTCAGTTTGAGACTTTACAGATGTGTGGCTTACATTGTTTTCTTGCAAAAAGAAGCGTAATGTGGGCGGAGTTAAGTGTTCAGGACATGTGT